GAAATTTGGCATAGATGTAGAGTATAGTCTTGAAGAACACATAGGCTACTTAGATTTTTTAATTCCACGCTGATGTAGTCGCGGGCGAAAGCTAGTTGGAAATGAAGACTTTAACAATCGAATCAAGATGCTACGTCGTAGCAATATCGTAGAGGTATTAAAAATAACTCTAAAAATCATGATTCGATCGTAGCATGGGATAGGTATTTCTTGAACAAAAATATCTACGGAACTAATTCGTATTCAGTCAGTTGACGCGAAAGACGTTCGAAAACGGACGTGTTCGGTTTTTAAAATTAACGGTGTCGTTATTAATTAACCGTTTTTAGTTATTTTAACGTGTGATTTATTTATATTACAAAAATAATTGTGTTCGGTATGCTAATTCTTAAAATTCAATAATATTTTAATTTATTATTAATTTATTTTAAATTTTTTTTATGTTAACATATACGCGATATCCAACTCCAGTAGGAATTCACCAAGTTTTTGTTCTCCAAATAACTCTATCATCCGTCATCTCAGTCATCACTCCCTTGATCATGTCACCTTTCACACAATCTATCTCTTTCTATGTCTACCTCTACCCATGTACTTTTAACTTAAAGGCTAACGTAATAAATATTTATTGTCAAGAAAACATTAAAAAAAAGATAAATATGTGCTCCAAAACGTTAACAATTGCCGTCTCTCCATTTTTTAATATACTAACAGAGATAGCAATAAATTGAATTACAAGTATTAATTCAATGTAAAAGTACTGTACAATCGGTGTGTCAGGGGTTTAAGCACTTGACTTGTAATCCACAGGTACTAGGTTCAAATCCAGCTCTACCAATGTGATTTCCGATTTTTCGAATTTCATCTAAAGTAATATTATAAAGAGGAAAGAGTTGTATTTTTTGTATCATTTTATTTATTGAAATAACTAAAAAACTACTGCGCCAATTTAAAAAATTCTTACACAGTTAGAAAGTTAATATCTGTGAGTAACATAGGCCCTCTTTTTCATTATTTTTTAAATTCACACGTGCAAAGTCTCGAGCAGCAGCTAGGATGTACATAATTTACCCGACTCTACGGTGAGAGAAAACATCGTGATAACACCTGGACGTGTCGAACTAATCACTTCTAACATAGAGAAGGCTCCGAGCCCCTCAGTAGGGACGTATAGTTATTTAGTGATGATGAAATATACTGTAAAGTCGTATTAAATCCTAATTGTATTAGAACACATCACTGATTCATTGATCGTACTAAATCTATTTGGCTTCCAACCAAAACATTTAAACGTCTGTTTTACTCACATATATATTTACATTCCTTTTGTTTGTAATAAATACAAGCCACATACCTTAACGTATAAACTAATTACGAATTTGAAAATCCGTATAAGAAATAGAATTTTTAATTCAATTTTAATGTGACCCATATAACAGTAAAGACCTTGCATGATGTTCCGTAAATTCAAAAAATCAGCAATCTGTGAATCTAAGGCCGATTGTTAAACGAGTTTTAATTTATTTTTTACTGCATAAATGTCGGTAATGGATTTTGAAAAATACATTTTCAAACTAACCTAAACCTACAAAAACATTTCAACATCCGCAATCGGAGTATTTTAATACTCGAAAAGTACTATAGTATTGTAGCGTAGCGAATACTAGTAGTCATTTTTGAGACCTTTAGGTCTTTCTTAGCTCAAGAAGTAAAAGGTTAGCATACTATGGGCATGTTATGAGCAGGGATGAATCGCATGTGACAAAGACGTTAGTTATGAGTGTGGCACACCGGTAGAGGTAGAACTAGAAAGAGATGGATTGCGTGAAAGGTGACATAATCAAGGAAATGACTGAGATGACGGATAATAGTTATTTGGACGAAAATACGGTGCACCAACCCTACGGGAGTAGGATAAGGTACTTAGTCAAGGTACATTATCCAAATGTTTGAAACGCAAATTAAAACAAATAAAAGACATACGCGTAAAAAGACGCGCGAAATTTTCAAGATGGCGAATAAAAAACGTGCCTTGTCTAACTGACGTTTGTGTTTACAACGTGCGTCCGCTAGTCGATAAATAACTAAGGAATGCGGCAAGCCCATTGTTTGAAGACGCGAAAATACGCTCGTTTTTATATTACATCTATTAAGAGAAAGGGTAAATGTGCCAGTAGTTGACCTCATATAAATTATGAATAAACTTCCGTGATGCAGAAGTGTTTAATTCGTTGTTTTTACGCATGTATAGGATAAAATTAATTTCTAGAACACCTTCCATTTATTGTAAGAATCCTTCATATTTTCGTATCGCTGTTTGACTAGCTGTTGCTCGCGACTTCGTCCACGTGTAATTTAAAAATATAGCCTATGTTACTTAGCGATGACGTAGTTTTCTAATGGTGTAAGATTTTTTGAAATCGGCAAAGGATTTTTTGAGTTATTTCAATACTTACGAAAATACAAATATATCCTCTTTATAATGTTAGTATAGATTGATACATTTTACACTAAGTTTTAGTAAGAAAGACTTAGTCATGAATAATCAGAACATATTTGAAGATACAAATAATATATAAAAAAGACAATCAAACCATACCACAATCATTTCTGAATTAATTTACGTAAAATGAAACATTTTTGTGGCTTTTTAAAGATAGAGTTGGCATTTAGCAGCGTGTATTCTCAGCTATAACCTTGGCATTGCCTCTCAAACTGCGACATCGTATTTACAATAGTTTTGCGACCGATAAAGATCTACAAGTGTTTGGCAATGCCAAAAACAGGCGACTCCACCCTGCTTTGTTCGCGTGCATACAATTTTAATAACATACTTTATGTTACTCAGAGATTTCGCTTTCTAATGGTGAAAGGGTTTTTGAAATTGGACAGAGTTTATTGATATGAATAATATAAAAAGGGAAGAAGTGTATTTTTGGAGTTTTGTATGTATTCGATTCACGTAAAAACTACTAGGCCGATTTAAAAAATCTTTCACTGTTAGGAAGGTAATTTATCTAGGAGTAACATAGGCTATGTTTTTTATTATTTTCTTATTTCATGCGAGTGACGCAGCGAGCAATTAGTAAACAAAACTATCCCGTTTTTGTTCAAAGATACTGTTTGTATATCTTATTTCTCATAGTTTTGTAATACTTCAGTCTAAAGCAATCGCGAAAAAATTCGCATCCGCAATTCGTATTTCCCATGCCAGATGTGAAACATTTTGTTTATTAGTACGTTTACTTTCGTGAGATATTGCAAACGGAATATACAATAATTATACATTGAAATATACAAGCGAGAGAGTACAAGAAATATCTCAAATATCATTCCTTAAAATGCTGTTCTAAATTCTTTGTGAAATACCATGATTAAATCCAATAAATCTCAAATCTCGACCGGTGGTAATTTCACATACATTTGTGTTTTTTCGTACGTACGAACGTATATAGAGATATAGACAAAATTATATGACGATGTTGTAATTAAAATAAACGCTATAATAGTTTTTTGCAAATTTTCGTGTCAGATCCCGGTCTATTGTCGACTAGCTGTTCCCGTGCGACTTCATCCGCACGAAATCGTGAAAATATTATTTCATTGTTTACATTTGTCAAATTACAAATGTCAAAATGACATGATGACAACCTTGCTTCATTGATGTTGGAAGCAACTTATGGTCTGTTTCCCACATTAGGGTTTTTATTTCAAATATTTACCCCCTTAGTTTAATGGCGTTAAAATATGTAGTCTAAAGCGTGACGCAAGTGTAGGGCTTGTTATTAAAAAAAAGAATTATCCAAAAATTGCTGACATCTTAGGCAACAAAGTGTGTGTTTACGCTTTATTATAATAGTATAGATGGTTTAGCAGCGTAAGCTTAGTTCTCTAAGTTACTAAGTTAATTTCTAGATAATTCAGTTAATGAACTATTGAATCCAAACAATCTTTTAATATAATATTTGTTCTAACCTGGTGGCATTTTGCCAAAAAAAACTCGCGATTTTCGTCCGAATGTTCTGTTGCCCTTAACTCGTAAAATAAACCTTTTTACGATGAGATAAAAGATTTTTATTAAAACAGCTGTTTCAGTAAACAATTTATAACTCATCAAAAACCCTCTCTTTATAACAAAATGCTTCATCTCAACAAAACTTCAACAGAAATGTAACAAATTTGTTTGTTTATAATTTTAAATTTGAGTACGCCACTCATATATCATGATCGATTTATTTATAAAATAACTTTATTTTTATAAATATTTTGTTTATCAAATTACCGAAATACTAAACCTAATTTTACAATATTCATCTACTCATAGAGTATTATAATACTAATGAATAACACAAGACTCTACAAAATTGTTAAATCAATAACTGCCACAACACCGTTAAATTTCCCATTCATTTCTTTCGCCCGCAACTCCGTCCGCGTGGAAATAAAAAAAAAACCAAAGTGAGTAGCCTATGTGTTCTTCCAGGCTATCCTCTACGTCTGTGCCAAATTTCATCGAGATCTGTTCAGACGTTTATGCTACAAACTCTAACAAACATCCATCCATCTAAACTTTCGCATTTATAATATAAGTAAGAAATAAGATAATATAAGTAAGAAGTAAGATAAGTGCCCCTTAGTGACAATAAAATTGCTGTATACAACAGAAATAATAGATTAATTTCCGGCATACCTAACACAATTCATAAAATACAGTAAGTTTTAAAAAAATACATAAACAATTGTACACATAAATGTGAGTAAACAGTATGTCTGTGTGGCTGATGCTGATAAAGAGTTCTCGCTGGGGTCTTACCTGTCCGAGCAAACCCGTTTTCGTAAGTATTAACTATATTACCCTGCCCTTTCCCTATGTAGTGTCTACTCTTTCACACCATCAGTTGTTATATCTGAATTAACTTACCTTATACATATCCTCTTTCACACAATATATACTTCAAGCTCACTTTTTTCTTTTAAATGTAAATACTGAACTAGTATGGACCATCTTTCGATTATCACCTAACATTAGGTGGGTGATTAAATCGTCATATTTGGTTTATGAAATAAGAGAAAATCGGCCAAAATTCAACCTAGAGCATATACATTAAGGCGTAACGCGGGTAGTTCGCATTATTCCGATGTCTTGTATGCGGTCGTGATATTTGTAGTTAATGCTGCCGACTCTACCATTATTAAATTCAATATATCTACACCAACACGCATTGGGCCAGCGTCATCCTTACTTAGGGTAGGGTCCCCTTTAGCGGAAGAAAGCGCAAGCGTTCCCGCGACCCAGCCACAGGCGGACAGAAGGAACACCGCTGGGATTTAGTTGGTATTCCGTCCATCTTCTCGGCCGGCGAGTCCCACATACACTCCTGGTAACGGGAGGGGGGATGTGTAAATGCATTTTCCCAGCGAGAAAAAAAAAGGGTCCCCCCTCAGTGGGGACGTATGCGTAGCTGGTGATGATGAATGATTTTTCTATAAAACAATAAAAATCAGTTCCATACTACAGTCATAAAGAACAGAATGAGTTATTTTTAAAATAAACATTGGTCTTTATTTGATTAATCTTAAAATAGTGTCCACAAGTAAGTCTGTTTTCATGTTACCCATGTAAACATGATGTACGTCAGTGCACGTACAGAATGTTCCATCTCAAAGATTACGTATTCGGGATAAAGAAACAAAACAACCACATAATCATAAGACTTTTACGTCACTTAAACCACAAGCTAATCTTCAAACTGAGTTTTGGTTTCTTTGGAAAATTTTCTTTATTTTATGAGATTTTTTTTATAGTTTTGCGGATTTGTAAGTATGTCAGATCCATTGTGAACGCTTTGAGTCATATTTTAACCTAATTTTGAAGACGCAATCTTTTCTTTCAAGAACTTTCAATACAGATGTGAAATATACAAAAAGATAGATATACCTTTTACTAACAAATCTGAAAAGAGAGCTCTTCATATCTATACCTATACTTCTATAAAAATTCATATAATAAAGCGTAAACACACACTACTTTGTGGCGTAGGATGTCAGCAATCACAGTATATTTTTGAATAACTCTTTCTTTAATAAAAAGCCCTACACTTACGACACGCTTTAGACTATATATTTTTACGCTATTAAACTTAGGGGGTAAATAAATTGGAAAAAAACTATATATGGGAAAGGGGCCGTAAACTGCAAACTACCAACATTCAGGAAGTAAGGTTATTATGGTAGCGGTTGACATTTGCAATTAGAATTTGACAAATGTAAACATTAAAATAAAGTTTTTATAATTTTCATGATGAAGCCTCACGGGAACAGCTAGTTCTTTTTATAAAGATAAAGAAAGGTGAAAATAAGAAAGACGCGTCTATTTTTATTATATTGTGACGATTTTGTAGACTGTACCAACGATGTGGGTGTATTTTTATGTAGTCTATAAAAAACAATAAAGCATCTTATAAAATAAAGCTTAATCGTTAACCACAGATGCTTCAAACATGTGAATAGCAATTAAACGTTATTTTTAACAACTGCTAATATAACTGTTATTTTCGTAACCACCTCGAAATAGAAACGCGTTGATTTAAGTCTGTTTCTGTTCGATTATTAGCTGTTATTGTCGTTGGAGTTTTTAGCGAGCGTTCGCACGGACGCGAAAACGCTAAGCGGTAACTATGTGTCAAAATAGAACGTATGGGATTGTATGAAGCTGTTCATACGG